CCTCTAAATCAATTTACATAAACATTCATATCATATTTTCTAATTAAAATAATCCTACAAATTTGTTTAAATGAAGGTATGTAGCCATGTAATCTTATTAAAAAAAAAAGTAAAAACTTTTGTTAATCTTTGGAGCTTATACAAATAAATATCTTTAAAATAAAGGTGGAAAAAAAACTTTCAACATTAATAAATCCAAAACTATTTTGAAATTTTAAAAAAGGGTGAAGTTTTGCAATCTTGCATATCTTTAGACGCTCAATTTTTAGATTGACTACAAAAAAAAAAAAAAAAAAAAAAAAAAAAAAAAAAAAAACATAATATTAATATTAATAGTTTATCTAATATCTATAGTCTTTGAGGCGGTACAAAGCATTCTTCATTTTTCTCATAAAATGAATCAAAAACTATTGTCCACATCAAAACATTTTCATATCAGAATGCTCCTTTAATTTCTCTAAAAATGCACAAAATTTCATCTGATAGTTTTAACACCTTTTTCATTCATTTCAAAATAATTTAATTATTTTCATTCATTTTCTTAATTTATAAATGAATTTCATTAAACTTTCTAGCTCTATATATATTGTTGGCCCACAAACCCACTATTTTTGTATGTCACAAATGACTTTCAGTAAATTTTCTAGATCTACAGATAGTGTCCCGAACCCACTAACCTTGTATGCAACAAATGTGAAGACTTTAAATTTGAAAAACCTTAGCCTAGAAATTTATTTGACTTGTATTAGTAAGGGTGCTCAGAGGTATTATTTCTCAAATTATAAGATTTAAATGTATTTGCAGCAGTAAATCAACTTTGAGTTAAAAAGTTGATGTTTTTAAAACAAATATCTAGTAAATTTGCAAGTAATTGTATTAGTCATTTGTTAGCTCAATTAAAATTCTTTTTATATTTCAAGTTTCCATTTGCATCATTAGGATTTCCACAATTCACAATGTCTAAACTATAACCAGCTATTGATGGTGCTGATGGCTGTTAATATAATAGTCTATTTGTTCAGTGATCTTTGAGTGGAAAGTGAACCCGGATTAATCATTTTGTGTGTTTTTACTAAGAAACGATTTCTTTTTAGAATTTTTATTTTGTTTTTTTCAGTTAAAAGTGTAAGGTACAGCAATTTGCAACATGGCCTACAATTTTTGCTGTTTGTCATGTTGTAAAACTGATATTCGTCAACTACTTTAAAGTACATATTAATTAGATAAAGTAAATTAAATAACATATATTTATACAGAATGCATTTCTTCTAAAATTTAATAAACTTGCTTAATTTTTAATACTGAAAACTATGAAATTTAGAGTTCATTGAAATAACACTAATAGCTAATTTTACTGATCTAGAGTAAAAAGTATTTAATTAAAAAAAAAAAAACTATTTTAGACTGGGTGAGTTTCGATATGCAATGTCAAAAAAATTTAAGCAATATCACAGATATTTTTCTTAACCTGGCATGTACCTTTAGGCAGGTATTTTGTATCCTACTTTTGACACTTAATTTTGAATAAATAATTTTTAGCAACAAATTCTTACATATATTATTATTTAGTTAGGTCTGGCACTTAATTTTTTTTAAAAATTAAATTCAGAAACTTTTCATGTAAATAAGATGTTTAAGTTTACTTTGATGATTCACTTTTATCTGAAAAATATAGATAAAATTATGATGAACCAGATGTCAAGAAAAGAAAATTTTTGCATTTTCCTCACAGTTATGTTAGTTATACAAAAATAATACTTTTGAAGATAATGTCAAAAGATCAAAGTGTTATTTTCAATAATTGGTTTTTTCTAAATCCAAGTTATTTAGAAATAATTATCTTTATACTTAATAAGTATTTGCCAGGTTTCAATCTGTCTTCGGCAGCAGGTAATACAAAAATAAATCTTTAATATTGATTGGATGTTTAATTCTTACAGGATATTGTAAACTGAATAGCTAAGAAATACATTCGTAAACTTTAAATAACATCGATATACATTTCTTTCTTTTTACTCTTCTTTTTCAGGTAAGCACTTTTTAATCACTCAAAATATATTTTTAAGCACTTAAAAAAATACAATTACGATAAGCACACTAAAATTTTTTTTTCTTCTTATTGTTGAAAGTTCTCCATATATATATATATATATAGTAAAATAATAATGCAAGGAAAAAAGTAATATGTTAAAAAAATAATACGTAAAAAAAGTAATAAAGTACAATAAAGGTTTATAAAAAGGTTATGCAATTGGTCAACAGTTCCCCCAAGTAAAAATTCTTACAATTAAAAATCTCAATTAATTCTTATCTTTATTAAATTAAATGAATAACAGGAAGATGGAAATTTTGAAGAGATGAAGCTTGATGAGTTTCCTCTGCTCTGGGGACATACATGAAAATACGTATAAGTGAATGATCCCCATGTTAAGTTCAAGGATTATGGTATTGATCTATGAATAGAAGAGCGCAAGGCCATTAGTTTTTCAGTGACGAAGACAATGGTCCTTCACCAACGATGAAACTAAAAAGAGAAGGAACATTTTTTTTTGGCTATTAGGGAAAAAAAATTTGGCTTTGTTTAGTTGGTCCCCATGATCAGCAACAATTTTTTATTTGTCAAATGCCAGTTACATCAGCCGTTAGGTCATTAAACTTCTTGCTTGCCAATAGCGTTGAAATATAGAAGAAAAATCTGTCAGTGCTTCACACTCGTCCAAATGTTCTGCCGTCATAGGTCGTCCACTATCACATATAACACACAAAGGTGAATCGACTAGTCCAATGCGAAATAAATGATTCTGTAGACAGTCATGCCCTGTTAATAGTCTAAAAGCTGCAGCCGCAACTGATCTCGGGTGGTCAGGAATAAAAGCTGAGTTTGTTAAAAGAACACTCCAAGACCTGCCATTGCAAGCCCGAGTGGCAAAATTTCTAAAAGTCTTTTGATATATGAGTGATGTCAGCAGTTTAATGGAATGGAGGCTTGCTTCAGTTTTGGGCTTTTGGAGAACCGCAGCTCCTCTTTTGGCAAGCATATCTGCCATCTCATTTCTATAAATACTGCAATGTGAGGGTACCCATTGAATGATTTCTGTTCTTTCATGAATGTTCTTTTCCTGGCACTGCCTGACTAACATGTTCTTACTCTTGATAAGATGAGATGACCTGCATTGCTGAAGTTGAATCTGAAAGGTTAGCTGCTTTCTTGAAAGGGTTCTGTGTCAAATATAGTTGTTGAAGAGCCACCTGAATGGCTTTCAGTTCTCCATCAAAATGCGTGGAGTAAGCTCCTACGGATAAGTAGAAACTGAAAAGCTTGCTAAAAACTCCAGCCCCCTGCTCCCTAACGGTCAGAGAACCATCCCTGTATGTATGTATCCATTCCTCAGCCGGAAATTAATGCTCAATTTTTTCCAACGCAATAGCTTTTATTTGCTCTGGACTCATTTCTTTCTTATCTACTTTTATATTCAGGTCCAACCGCACATCAAGGAAGCTATAGTTCAACGGGTTTGTCAAAAACAGCAGTGCCGGTTTCAGTGCTCTTATGTCATTGTATTGTTCAAGGCGGGAGACACATTGTAGGAAACCATTTTGCGTCTTCAGATTTCTTTGTCTAGTATTATCATAATTTCTCCAATAAGAATTACTTGGCAACCGAATATAGCAGCAACAGTTTGAGAGATATTTCAGTTCGATTTCAGAAGGCAGAAAATGAAGCCTGAAATTGAGAATCTCTTGCAATTGAGTTGCACATAAATTGTGCAAGAATCCTTCCCAATGAACCCAGCTCAGTATACGCACATGTAGACATGCAAATATTTCATCAAATATTTAAAATAATTGCCGCTTTCATACGCTATGGACCAACGGCACAACAGAATGGATTGTGGTTGAATGCATTGTAAAAACATTGAATAGAAAAATTTGAAGACCACGCTTTTTGTATAAATTCGTGGTGAAAATCGACAAGGTAAAAAAAAAATCTTATGTTGGAAAAGGGAAAACAAGGCACTTTTTAAATACACCCAATGAAAAAAAGCACCTTTAAGGGCTTTAAAAAATGAAAATAAGCACATGTAAGCACTTTTTAAAAACGATATGCACCCTGTTTTCTTTCTATTTTTTCCCTTCAAAAATTAGAGTAAAGAACGAATATTAAAGTTACGTAAAGTTATGTTAGTTACGTTAAAAGTTAAAATTTTCAACAGAGACATTAAAGGTCAAAAATCAGAAAATAACTCACGATTGCTATAAAAAAAAATCATGAAAATCTCATAACTTTTGCAAGAGCTTTACATCTTGTTTGAATAAACCTTGCCTCCACTTGAAGAATACATAGAGCAATATAAAGCAATTTTTATCAATATGAATAAAGGCAGTAGGTATCCCTGCTTTTTACATGCATTACAAAATTCAATTCAGTATTTTCTTTCAGATTAGAAAAAGCGCCCTAATTCAAATATAGGAAAGAGAAAATTGAAAAAAAAGTAATAAATGAAATAAAATCAAATTTATCGAAGCAATTTTCTTTGTATAAAAGTGTGTTAAAACATTTTTATTTGGTTTTTCCAGACTTCTTTCCATATCATTATGTTCAGCAAATAAATTTTTTTACAACATTTAAACATTTCTAATAAATAAAAATGTTAAATAATAATTTTAATCTTAAAAACATCATTTCAATGCCTCTTTCTCCTGAATTCTTCCAGATGTATTGCATGTACTTTCCTATTGTTACACCCATTTTTCAGTTGATTTTAAACATTATTAATTGAAGACAAAAATTCTTGCATTTAAAGGTTAAATAAAAGTAGAAGAAAGCAAGGAAAGTTATTTTTCATGCACTCTTATACCACTAACAAAATAATTCATTTTAGAAAACAAAATACAACTTTAAGAACTTAAACATTTATCCAAATATCTTTTGAAACTTTAAAAGCTGTACATATGAACACACATATTTCCTTCAAAATTAAAAGAAAAAATTTACTCACATCTGCATCATCAATATTTTCCTCATTTAGAATTCCAAACTGTTCAAATTCTTTTTCCACGTCTACTATTTGAGGTAGAGAATAATTAGGATTTGAAGCTAGGTCATCAGGTATTAAATCACTTAATTCATCCAATGGAAACAATTCAGTTAAATCACAGAAATCATTGTCTTCAAAAGGTAGAAATGCGTCTAAGTCAAAAGAATTCAAGGAATCGACTTCTTTGGCTAATAACTCAGATTCAAAAGGTTTACTCTTTTCATCATGGAATGATTCATTTTTTTGAAAGTGATGAAGAGAAACATTGTTATCAAAAGAGCTAGAGAAGTCATCAATCACATATTCACCTAAAAACAAAATAAGATATTTGTTGTATATCAAAATAATAATGTTTATAAATTTGTTTTTTAATGATTCTGGTAACATCTAAACATATAATAAATATAATAACAAAATAACTAACCGGTTTCTGAATCAATTGTATAATTTAATCCAGCCAAAGGATCAGGAACAATCACAGGTTCTTCAGGCACTTTCAAATCTTTCTGGTCAAGCAAATCCTAAATAAATAGAAATTTAAAATTACACAGTGATAGATACAGTCTTCAAATTCATTATAACTTGTAATTATTACTTAAGTGTTTCTGGCAACATAGCAATTGGGAAAATATTGCAAGAATAAAATACTGTTGAAGACCAATAAAGGTATAAAGAAAGTAGAAAGACATAGATAAAACATCTTTTATGCAGCATAAGACCAAAAAAAAAAAAAAAGGATCTTGTTCATGTTATATTATCTGAAAAAGATTTATTCAGTTAATTTTAAACCTTAAAATTTCTCTAAATTTTTGACTAGTTAAATCCACATTAAACTGAAATGGCCTTTACAGACAGAAGTTAAATATTGAAATAAATAATCTTAGGAAAGAATTTGAAGTCAAGAAGGGAAAAAAATTCAATTCTTTTAAGTTACATTATGGGAGTTTGTATGGGAAAGTGATTTTAATTGAGCCAACCAATATTCCAGATGTCAAACTATAACAAAATTGACTAAAACAAGTAAATGTGAACTCAGTATATAATATTACTAATAGATTTTAAAAAAGTAATCAGATTGTTGTTTGCACTATTGTTTATTATTTTTCTACCTTTCAAATTTTAGTTCATTATGAATAGAAATGACATAAAATATAGTATAACCTTATCAATCCATGGAACTGGGTTTTTGAACCCAGTTGAAAAACCCAACAAAACAATGAGAATTTTTCAACAAAACAATGAGAAAATTCATTGTTTGTTTCAATAAGATTAGATTTTAAAAAATCTAAAAACTATAAGATGTTAAAATTCATAGAAGTTCTAAAAACTAAGTTATGCTATTTCTCCTAATCTAATAAAACCACTCCTTCATTTTCAACCTTTTTTCAAACATATTGTGCTGTTAAACTTTTTCATTCGATTTGGTTAAAAGTTTAGCATATTATTACTTATGTAGGTCATTGTTACAATTAGAATTTTTAGGATTTTGATAAATTGAATAGTAAGACTAATTCTTCATTCAATGTGTCATCCTTTTTATTAAAAAACATATAAATAAGACCAGCATGAAGTAAAAACCACAATTATTATAGACATCATGTTTAATATTTAGATAAATTGTATAACAAATTAGAGACTTAATTGACCTGTAATTAACAAATAAAATAGGTAACATTTATAAAGTTGTCTTTTTTTCAAAAATTTATTTTTAAATATGTTATTTAAATTTAGCGCCCCTCAGAAGCTGTGTCTGGGTAATGGTGTCTCCTCTTGCTCCCCTCTAGCTATGCCACTTATCACCTGATTTGCTTCCATATGAAAAAAAAAAATTAAAATCATGGAAATAAGGAAAATGATACAGAAATTTTTTTTAATTCCAAATGTCTTTTTTAATATTAGGCATTAGGACTGGGCTATAAATCGATGTATCGCGACATATCGATTTAGAACATATATCAGCAAGCAGATGCAGCATTTTTCGTTTCAGGCGATGCATTAGAAATCTGATTTAAGCTGTAGATTAAAGACGACGAGTGCAAAACAATGTATCGATATAGGACGCCCAAGGATCTTCTTGCAACTGATACCGACTTGCACTGTGGAAGACGATGTTCGTTTTGTTATGTTGCAATGGCCATGATTGATGAGTGGTAGAATCAGAACTATAGTTTTGAGAATATATATCGTGATCTCGCATGTTTGTTTTCGCGCCTCATAGTTTTTCTCTTTTTCTTCGTCGCGACTTGATATCGCTTCTTGTAGATTATTTTCAGTGGGACTGACCTTGTGATTGCCGTCGTTACCTTGTTCTGAACGTAATCTATTATGGAAAAGAATATATAAAGAAGCGTTTCTTAATTAATTAGGTACATTTTTCTTAAAACAAAACTTTTTTTATTTATTTTTAAATGTAAAAATTAATTTTGATATTATATGTTTAAGTAATTTTTTACATTATTGAATTTATTACAATTGGAAATCTAATTTAAGGTGCCCGTAAAGAATTAAATTACAAAGCAAATTTGTTAGGCTATTTTTTACTTTATTTTAATTTATTAAAAACTTTTTGGATAAAACTTCTAATACTTTAATGGGTTTTTATTACTGATTTTAAATTTATAAATCTTTAGTTGCTTTTATTTTTATAAATAAAATTGTAACAAAACTTAGTTTTCCTCTTTTGGATTTGGACATAAGTCAATCAACTTTGTTTATTCAAAAAAAATTAGTAAGGTTTGCAACTTCTTTTTTTAAATTTATTTTTAATCATTTAGCACTTCGTTTTATTAAAGAGTATAACCATGTTTTTTCATTTTCTTTCAATATTATCAGTTAAATATATTATCGAATATCATAATTCTTTTGTTTTTATTTTTAAGAAATTAAACCTTACTTTGTTTTTTCGTTCAGAATTCGGTAATAATTCAATTTAACTTATTTATGTGAAATAATGATAAAAAATAGTGTTGCTTCAAAAGCGTTTTTTTGTTTTTATTTATTTAGCACTTTGTTTTAAGCATACAGATAATTTTGAATGAACTTATTTTTTAAATTTTCTTTCTATATTGTTAGGTAAATATATTGATAAATTTCAATTTTTTTAAATTTTTTTTATTATTTATTTCTAAACTAAGAAATCTTTCGTTATTTGCGCAATCATTTTTAGAAAATATAACATTAATATCTTTCTTAAGCAAAACCTATATATCTTCAAATTCATAAATTGATTTAAATCAATCTGAGTATGAAGTTTTGATAGAAATGCGACTTTCTGTACCTTACAAGTAAATGAAATTCAAAAATACCAAGCCGCATTACATCACTATATCGCGATGCAAAACTGACGATGCATCAGGATATAAAATTTCTTATATCGTCCAGTCCTATTAGGCATATGCATAAATATTCTACACAAAAACAATTTAACTTAATTTAAAGACAAGCAATTACTATGAATTTGAAACAAAAGTAATATGACTCCTCAGTTTATAATTTAACTTAGTTCACAATCACAAAGAAATTTGGGGAGAAAGATGGAATCGGCATCTATTTGGAATATTTAATTTTTGAATAAAAGTGCTCGGTCAGTAGATAAAAATTAATGTTTACATATATGGGTCATGCAATCAAAATTGAAATATTAGCAACATACATTTAATATATTTTTATTTTGCGATCCTCAAATTTTATATGTCACAAACTGCAATTAAAATTTTAAATTCCTACATTCTTAATACTCATATAGAATTTTATATTATGGCACCCATCTAATGGATGTGTGATTCCTAATGTTTAGTTTAGAGTTTTGAACCCAACCCAGAAGACAAGGTACCTTTCGGGTCAAACAATTGACCAACTCTTTTTCACACAATTTTTTTTAGGAAACACAAAAGTCCTTAATAGTTATTTCAACGGCAAGGTAGTTGAACAGCAAGATCTGATTATCACTAAGGACAATTTGCATCACACAAAGATGCATAATCATTAATTAAATTTTTAAGAAGAAAAAAAGTTACCTTTTCTTTAAGGAATTCAACATCTTTCAACTTATCAGTTTCCCCAGGTTGGCGAGAATCATATGCATCTCTGGTAACTCCTAAATCAATGTCTTGTTTCCATAGTATTTCAATAAGGTCCATTTCCTAAAATGATGCAATAATATGTCAGAAAGGAAGTACAGGCTTATAATGTAAAATAGCAATATGAATTTGAAAACTAAGTAAAGAATAAGAATTTACAGATAAAACAATTTTTTAAAAAATATTAAATAATGCCACAAATGATAAACTATGTATGTGAATGTAATACCAATAAGCACAATTTTTAATTATTATAGAATAAACAATTTTTTATTTATTTTAATAAATTAAAACTATCAATAAAATTAGTTGTATTTAAATTTTTCAGTCATTATTTGGAACAGAATAATTTGTAAGTAATTTAAATATGTAAATTTGATTGTTCTGCTTTACCTATACAAAATTATGTAATTGGTTTCTTTCTATTTTTCATTTTTACCTGAGCTGTAAAATCACATAGTAATTTAGTTGAATCACACGTTACGTGCATTTTATAATTAAAATTAACTTGTGCCCAATCAAATTTTGTTATTTTTCTAATAGTAATAATAATAATAAAAAATAATAATAATTTGCTCAACGAAATCAACTTCACGGAAGATTAGAAAGAAATAGACTGTAGCATAAAAAATGTGTGATAGTTGAAGAGATGATATCTCTTTATGACAGAAAAATATGATAAGAAATGTGTGGTTCTAAGTTCACATTTTATCAGCTATAAAACAAAAACTTTATTCTAAATTAATTCTTGAAATTTACAATAGAGGGCACCACCACAAAAAGTTTTGATCACAAATTATTCACATGAGAAAGAAAAATTAGTTTTGGAATGAAAAAAGCTGAAAATATTCGATATGTTTTTCTCTAATTACTTAACAATTTCTTTGTATTTCTATTTAAAAATAAATAATTCTTTACTTGTTTTAATTAATTAATTCTAAAAGTAAAAACTCGATTTTTAAACATTTTTTTTCCACATCGATCTTCCATCGAGGTTGCTTCTTAGATTCATGTTAGACAAAATAATAAATTATCTTGTCCCAACATGAATGCTTATCTGAAAATACACACAGTTGTAACCAAAAATTGACACCAAAATAATTTCTTCACTCAGACTACTATTTCATATAAAGTAGATTTTTTAAAAAATATTTGTTTAATTTTATTATAACTATTAGACTTAAAAGGTTATTTCTGAATTACAATGAGCTAATTTTAAATTTAAATTAAATGAATTTACGGTATATATTAGTTTCATTTGCTACTGATAGATGGCAGCACCAAACATTAAAATAGAATGACGAAATCTTTACGTAATTTGTTTTGATTGCACCTCACACTGTAACCCCAGTAGCAATCCACGTGGAATCCTTTTTTAAAACGCAGTGATAATGAACGGCAAACACTTAAACTGTAAATAAATAGGCAAAAACCAAAATAAGTTTATTTAGTAGTGGTTGAGGAAATGTTGATACTTTTTATAATAAGCTTGATTTTAATGACAAGCAATCACATCTTGTAAAAGTTAATCAATTGTTTTTTAACTCTGAAGTAACATATTTATATCGATATAGAAAGCACACATGTGTATTTCCATTGCAACCATTTCTCGCTAATAGGGAGTTTCTTTAGACATAGTTTACAATTACTACACAAAACTCTTTAATTTGGATAAATTTGAAGTATTTTAAGAAGCTTAACGTTAACACAATTTCATCCTCCTCTATTCCATTATTTCTTCTTACGATTTTTTAATCGTAATATTATTTGCAATGGAAATAGAAAAATTTATGGGTAATACGTATAAAAAAAATTACTTATTACGAAATTTAAAAAAATATGATTCAAGCATAATAATAATCTTCCATGCACTAAATATCTGCAAAATGGTTATTTTTTCTTAACTTGTTTTAAACTTAGATTTATATTGCTGGTGATTTATAATTTTTTTCTTCATTTATCTAAATTTCGGAAGGACATATAGAGATTTTTAACCATTGAGGGGGACAAATATTTAGAGTCCTCCCCACCAAGAGCTGTCTTAAGGATGGGGACAAGCAAAACCAAAGCCCCATTCCCGTGATATTCGTTCCCCCTCTTTCCTTTTTCTTAATAATTATAATGTGTTCATTTCTTAAAAATTAATTATATATATAAATATACAGTCGGACCTCTATTTAACGAACTTCCCTTTTACGAATTTCTCTATTTTGCGAATTTTTTCGAGAAACCAAAAACGTTTTGTAAATTTCTTCGTAAAATAACTTCCAAATAGCGAAGTGAATTTTCAATTTAACGAACTTTTCCTTGAGATCCATTTTCCGTAAAATTTCAGAACATTTTAAACTTGCTAACGCATTTTATGAGGGAAGCGCCCTTGAATTGATTTTTGAAGTCACTTAACTTTTAAAGAAAGCTGCAAAATTCCTTTACCTTTTTTGTTTTTCAAACGAAAAACTCAAACAAAATTAACGGATTTTATCAGTAGCAATTAAACTTAAGAACTCATGTGGTAATACATGTTTAACATTACTTTTATAACAAACGCAGATATAATTTTATACATAAATTCAGCTTCTCTTAGTTGAAAATATATGTAGCACGTATTGGATAATGTTTTGCTCTATTCTTGCTTTCCATGCAGATTTCTTTTATGGATTGCAGATTTCTTTTTAAAATAAATAGTAGATACTACTTTGAAAGATAAAGGTGTATCAATTGCTATGTTAATTATGTCTAGTGTTTATGAATTTAAAACATGTTTTGTGTCGTTTAAGTATTTCAAAAGGTGACTTTCTATTTAGCGAATTTTCTATGTAACGAACTTATTATCGGGATTTAGCAACTTCGTTAAATAGAGGTCTCGTTATATGAGGACAGATCAATAATTTTTTGAAAGTATGCTAAAACGTCATTTTATTCAACTTGGTTGGATAAAGCCGCATATATAAAGATATAATGAACAAAATACTTTTTTTTTCCTACTGAAAATTTATCTATAACAAGAAATTAATATTATAATGCTCCTAGATTGAGATATATACAGGTGTTTAAAAATCAAGGCACGTAAAGAATATAATTTGGAATTTATCGCAAATTAAATAAGTTGATTTAAGAATAGAAATCACACAACAAAAAAAACTTTGTTCTTTTGCAATGCTTCAGGCTTCATGCATCCATCGTTTAGTAGTAGTAGTACTTGATTTACGTCGTAGTAGAGTTGCATATTGGGCTATTGGTGACAGTTTGGGAAACATCCCTGAGGATGGTTCAAAGACATGCCATCACAATTTTTATCCTCTGCTTCTCCGCTTTGGTAGCCCGACTACCTTGCGCAGGAAGTCAAGCAGTTTACGGTAGAACAATTGAAAGAGGACTACCCTCGATCCCTTCGCAAGCTGATGAAATGGGTCATCCACCCGCTCAATGACTGCTCGACTTCGATGTTCTACAGGTAACCATGCCTCTACGATCAGTCATCTGTGGGACGTGCCTATCGTTTAGAGTTGCGACTCATTGTCCAATCATTTGTCATATCCGACTGAAAAAGTTCAAATTTAATCTGGCAACGCCATTTAACAAAAGATTTAGTATATTTTAACCGTGATGTAAAATCGAAAACAATAGCTAAAAAGAGGTGTAATCAGTTGTTGAAATCGCCTAAAATAAAACTTTAAGTAGCATGGCGATTGTCTGTAACTAGTTTTATGTAATTTCTGATAAATGACAAGTGTAGTTTAGTCAATAATGCCGGGTCTCGGTTTTGCCCAACTCTCTCTTAAATGATTACTTAAGCAAGATCCTTAGACGCAGAATTCCTCACTTTTAACTAAAAGCAATTTATTTCGTGTTTATAAAATATAAAAATAAAACGATAGCAAGGAAATTTGAAAGCGGGAATATAAATATTAAAAAAAAAATTTTCTTCTTCAAAATGCTAATATTAAAAATTAATATATATAAAAAAATAATAATTACTAATATATATTAAAAATTAATAATATATAATAATATTAAAAATTAATAATATATAATAATATCAAAAATTAATATTTTACCAAAAAAATTATTTTATTTATATATATAAAAAAAAGTGAAAATCTGAGGCCACGAACGATTTAGTTTTCTGGGGGCTAACAGAAAGAGAACATATAAAGGGCCACGTAAATTTTGGCAACCGACTTTTAACAAACTAGAACTACATGCAGAGCTATAATTCTAAATTAATGACGAAAATTTTATATTCTTAATAAGGAAAAGAATTATGAATGAACATTAATACAGCGACGAAAAGAAATAGCAAATATGGTGGGTGAATTTCTTAGATTAGAAGTAGAGAAATTTTCAATCTTCTATCAGTTATCTCACAAATGTCAGCGTTTGAAATGCTGCCTTTAGTCAACTAGCGTTTTTTTTCATTTTTTTTTCTTTTTTTTTTTAAGAATTGTCGTGATAGTGGGCGAGCGGGGGCATTTGGCCAGAGCATCGCATTTTAAGGATTCCAATGCCGGTGATATTAGGTGCTGATTATTGAAAAAATTACTTTTTTAAAAATAACAAACATCAATTTCAGTATCGAAAATCTTTTATTGCATAGATGAAATTGAAAAGAATACCTCATTCTCCACATTCCATAATAGCTTATAAAATTTATAGTATTTGATAACAAGATTTATTAAAACATTTTTTGATTATTTTTTAGGTTGCTTCACTCACTTCTAAGGGCTACTAATGCTGTGTATATAAAAATTAACCTACAGTATAATATATAAAGGGGGAAAAAATGTCATGCAGTTCATATTCAGGAGAGTAATTCAAAAAGAGGGGAAAATATGTCTATTTCAATATTTAAAAAAAAAACAACATGGATTCCTATAAAGAACACCAATTAGCAAACTAAAAATAAAATTTCAAACGCTGAAAATATTTTTTCTCAAAATATCAAACCGCAAATAAGTTATAGCAGGATCAAAGTGAGGAAGTAATCCTGTAATAATTTGTTTGCACAATAGGAAAACATTTTATGAACAATGCAATCTTCATTTTTCACTCTATACCTAAGCTCACTCTTTTTATGTTTTAAAATTTCAAATATTACATACTATTTTATACAGGGAGTGTAAAACAGTTTTCGAAATACATTAAACAAAATAATAATAATAATCATTTTTTTAAACAAACAAACTATTTTCGACGCAATAGTTATTGCAAATTCCTCGACTCATTTGATGATGAAAGGAAGCAACTAAAAAAAGTGTATTAGTGACATAAATGACAAGAAAATATTTGAAAATAGGTTCATCAGTTAGCCTAATTTTCATGTTAGTTGAAGTTATTTCTAGCTTATTTTAAAACTAGTATACTTCCAGCTTACTTCGGCTGCCAAACCGAGGTCACCACAAATGAGACAAGATAGGAATAAACAATACACTCATTAGATTTAAAAGCTCTGTATCTCATATGAACAAAGGTGGATTTTAACCACTATTCATATAAGGCCTTCGTGTGATACACACTCAGAAAGCTAGTTTTGTTCCAAGACAAACAAGATTAACAAAGTTATTATTCCAGATGCTTGCTAGAAATTTATAACCAACCAGATTTATATGTTAGGGCTTCTACATTTAAGATTATCAAATGGAAATCATCCTAATGGGTAAAAAATGAATTCTATTTAAGACATAACCAATCAAACGCTGCTAAACTTAGTTCCATACGATTGAAATATATATTTGTAACGGGCATAAAAATGTCGAATGATTTTTAAAGTTCAATGAGGATGCAGAAAAGGAATTTCAAGGTTGTGCTATTGTATATTTCATAAATTTAAAACATATCCTAACATTTTTGAGTGTCGAAAAGGGGTTTCTTGAAGGCACTGTAAGACTTATTTACTTTACTTAGCTCAAGTATTTTGTATAGATTTTAAATAAGTCAGGCAAAAACGATGCTACACTCGTTGTATGACATAGATATATCTATCTCTCTCTTTCTATATATATACATAGATTACACCAGTGTCATATAAAGTAGTGGCATCTTTGCCCCTGACATATTCAATAATCTGCCTGAGTAAATATGCAACACTCGTTGTATAACATAGATATATCCATCTGTCTTTTTCTATATATATACATATATTACACCTGTGTCATACAAAGTAGTGGCATCTTTGCCCCTGACATATTTAAAAATTTGCCTGAGTTAATATGCAACATTTTTTTCATAAACCCCAATTTGTCTGCAACCTCAACTCATATAATTTATCGACATTGTAAAAGTTTATAAAATATTACCATCATTTATAAAATATTTTACTTTAAAAAAAACCTTCGATAATTTAAAACGGTCAATGAAACTGGACACAAAAATAAAAGCGAAGAACCAAATGAAAAATGAGAGATCACTATAGGACTTGGAACCCATATTTATCTAGAAAAGATAAAAACATTGAGGCGTATTTATTTATTTTTTTAAAATAAAAAATCCAGTTTTCCTTACAAATGTAGAGTATTATTACCTTACAACTTACTGACGCAAAATAATAAAAACAACTTACCTCAGGTGTAAGTTCCAAATTCTCAGGAGAGCTTGGTAACTCATTAATAGCAGCACCATTAATATCAGATACATCTTGATTTCCAATAGCAACACTTCCTTCAGAAGTATTAGCCTCATCAGAAGTAGAAGATGATTGTTGCTCAGGAAAATTCACAATACATGTAATCCAATTTTCTCGTCGAACGCTATTTACATAATTGAGTCTACTGAACAATATAGCTGCTTCATCAAGCTCATTCTGTTCGATGCTTTTTGGGTGAGGATATCGCAAATAGGATTCTGAGTGGGATATTTGGGTATAGGCTGATGTTGAACCTAAACGAACAGATTGACTTGCTGGTTCTCGGATAGAAGCATGATATCTAAAATTTCTAGAATCAAGCTCTACGCGAAGGACGAGCAATATAAGTAATAACAAATCGTAATTTGCTTTTTTAGCAAAAAACATGTTTGGTTTCTTTTATATCACAGTGCTTCCAAGTTTAGATCGTTGTTAGTTTGTAAAAAAAAAATTAAAAAAATTAAAAATTAAAGTATACTGCGATAATTTTTCTTATTTTTTCTCTACTTTAACTTTCCTCATCGAACCTACTCCATAAAATCAAGATGAATTGCACAAACTAACATTGCTGCATTAAAAAAAGAAGAAAAAAAAAGAAGAAAAAAAAAGAAAGAAGTAGAACTTTATAACAAATATATTTAGATAGGAGGTTTGATTGCACTCAATAAATATCGAACACGCAGAAGCTTTTCAATTTAGTGATTGTTCCATTTAGAAGCTGAATTGTTGACTTTAAAGACTATATCCTTTAACAACAGATATTTCCTAAAACAACCTGCAAAAAATATACAGCAATAATTAGAAATAACATATAAAATGTACTTACAAATATTATCTAAAACAAAATGTTGCGGAAATAGATATGATAAGAGTAACGTGATGCCATTTTTTAAAAAAATTCTAAATTTAAATGAACAGTAAGTTGAATAGCATCGAGTTTGAACAGCACTGTGAAAACAAGAAGAATGCATACAATTTACCAGTGTAACAGTTGCTATAAAATGAATTGTACAGCACACAAAACAAATAAACAAAAATACAATGAAACCAAAAAAATATTAATTAATGAAAAACGATACACAATGAAAAATTTCTGCTATTGAAAATCGGATATTTGTGCAATAAGAGATTCTTTTTCGTTTGAGGGATCAACCAAAAGCAGGCGATAATTTAAGTCACAAAAATAAACACAAAAACGTCCTTCTAACAACTGAATAAACAGATCTTTTTTTCCCCTCCCAAACAAGATCTAGATCTCAGGGGTCGTTCATTTTTTTTTTTTTTTTTTNTATTAGTTTTTTTTTTTTTTTTTTTTTTTTTAAAAGCTGCGTTTGGACGGCAAAACTCATTTTTTTTATTTCAATCATTCTTATTGTTGTCATATTTGAAATAATTTAATTATAATTACTTTGTTGATATTATAATTGCTTATTTTATATAATGATTTCTAATATACTAATTTCTAATATACTAATGAGTTTGTATGAAATATATATCGCTCATCGGCTGCAATAGTGGCACAACTCAAAAAACACGCGTTTTGGACTAAGAACAGGTGTAAATACACATTCTTTTCAGCAGCAATGCTAGCACAACTCATAATTCAACTTGAAGGTCTTCGTTTAAGCAAACTAAAGCATTTCTTATGCATTTTCCTTAGCAATGAAAACCTCAAAACATGATTTTTTGAGTTGTGCCGCTATTGCAGTCCATGAGCGATATACTTTTATGTTATTTTAAACCTTTTACATAGCCCGTCTTCCATAACTCTAGAATTAATTATCTAATAAATCAAATTAATTAATAATCGAATTAAATAATCTTTGCACTTGTATACATGTTTTTAAGACTAGAATGCTTACAAATTATTCAACACCAAATGATTATTAAATAAAAAAAAATTTCCTTTTTTTTAAATAACAAAATTGTTAAATAAAAATAATTACTAATTAATTGACACACCTTAACTGTGCCTTTCAACACATGAAGATTACATGTTAGTAAAAATCCGATCATTAGATCAGTAAATATTATTCAATGTAACATTTTATTATTATTACTTAACGTATTAAGAAATCACGGTATTTGATGTATATTTTCTGAAAAATATTTTTAAAAAGTACTTCAGAAAAAAAAAGCATTTTATCATTAAAAAAAATCAATAGAAGAAAGAAGAAAAAAAAAGGAAGTTCTTTCGGTGTCATTCACTATAAAGGAGGAATTAAAACTTTCATTACCAGTTTATTTTTGAGAGGATAGCGATAGGTGGCGATTAGAATTAANGTACTTCAGAAAAAAAAAATGCATTTTATCATTAAAAAAAAATCAATAGAAGAAAGAAAAAAAAAAGGAAGTTCTTTCGGTGTCATTCACTATAAAGGAGGAATTAAAACTTTCATTACCAGTTTATTTTTGAGAGGATAGCGATAGGTGGCGATTAGAATTAATATTTATTAGGAAAATTATCTAGCGTAGGAAAACAATTGACGCGAATTAGTTAAAAAATTAAATGACAAATTTAATTCTTGCATTTTAATTTCTATATTCCCCCTTAATTATTCATCTTGCAACTTCTTCTATGTAGGTTATAATTTAATCAATTACAGTAAGGCAATTATGTATAATATATGGCAAGAGAGGTCTTTATAGAAAACTCAGCATATCTGGATATCATTATATACTGGGCAATTCCATATGTGACGGAATGACATTTTGATTTGCAAAATAACAATTAATTGAAGTTTCTAAGTATCTAATTTCAAATAAAAATTTTTTTTCTCATGCATATCATTATTATTGGCATAATGCGCTTCATAAACTAAAAATACAGGATTTTCTATCTTTTTTACTTTTAATTTTACGAACTTTTTATTTGCGTGACGGAATGACATTTTGGCAACCAAGCTTTTGGCATGCCGCTTAGAACTGGTAGTTTCTGCGAATTTTGCAGCTATTATTTTTCTGAACTATTTTATACTTTTAGTATAATGTGTAAGCAATGTAAAATGTGAATTTGGAAAATTAACCTCAGGTTGGCTAGCAGTTATTAACATCTATTTGCTGTGACGGAATGACCGTGACGGAATGACAAAAAGTTTAGTAGAAGAAAGCCTTCATTTAAAAAATGTTTTATTAATATGTAAATGATAAACAGAATGTAACAGATAAACAGGATTAATATTTATGTAAGAATTAGTAAAAATTTCAACAGTTTGAAAATTAGGTTGTCTCTGAAGAGGTTTTATATCTAACTTGCCAATGTCACATCTAATCTTCATTCTCAGGAAATTTATGCATTATTAAGACATGTGACGGAATGACGTAAAAGAAGTTACTTTTATTTTATATATTTAACTTAAAATGTTTAAATTTTGTTCTATATGCATATTTTTATCAAAATATTGCAAAAGAAAGATACATTTCTTTTATTTTATAAGTATTTTTCAAGAAAACAATTTGAGCACAAATGTGAACAATTCACTTGTCAGCCATGTGATTACTTTAGAATGCTGCCAGATTCAAAAAATTTGAAATTATCAAAAATGAAACGGCAATATGTAGACTTTGGCTATTTTTGAACATATTTTTAAAATTAAAATATGCAATTCACAAAAAAAAAAAAAAATTCACTTAAAAGTTGACACTTCCGTGGAATTGCCCTACTCTATATATAGTATAATATGTGTAAAATGGAAATAATCATACGTTAAATAACGGAATATCAATTTCCATTAGGCTAAAATCTGTTAGATGTGAAAAAAGTAGAATATTTTGTCGGTTAGCTTTCAATTCAGGACAAAATTCGAAATTTGTATTTGAGAAAATGGACAACTAAAGATGCGCCTTTTTAATAATCAATCAAAATTTAATAACTAAACGACGAATTTCATACTTACTTTTTTAAACAATAAGTATAACACAGGGCAATATTTTTTAATGATATATATAATTATTTTTCATAATAACTTTCATTATATATTTTTTAACGGGTTGCTAAGCAGTTTTTATCTTCTGATAACGTGTCCTCTAGAAGTTTGTCACAACATTTATGCGACCCCCTGTTACATTTATAAAGTTTTTAAATTTGTACTATTTGCCAGAAAATCGACGAAAAATGTCATTAAAAAAAATCTTTAGCTTTAGAAGCAAAATTAGTTTTAGATTTGAAATTCCCACACCCGAATTAGTCAAGATCAAATATTTGTATAAATGCAACAAAAAATTTGTTCTACAGTGTTATCATTTACGGGGCAAAGATTACAGATGTAATTTTTCAGGCATCTCTTCGTATTCAGAGCATTAAACGATTAAGTAGTTTTAAAAAATCTTAATTTATGCAGCATCAATTGAATATCACTATTTCTATTATAAACTTATAAGAACCACTCACAAAAAGAACTGTTGACTTTTAATATCTTTTCAAAAAAGACTAATTTTTTAAAAAAAAGTTACTAAGTAGTTCTAGCAAATGAACAACATTACAAATTTTTTTGGAACTGTTAGTTTATTCTTTCTTTTTTTAAAAAAAGAACAATTTTCATGAAAAAAGTTTAAATATGAATCGAAATCCAATTTCTTAAATAGCTATGTCTATTTTCTTAAACACGCATTACGAGCTTTGTAATAACGATTTGCGTTTCCTTTTTCAATAATGAATACTTCGTGCATGCTTTTATAACAGTATAATATAACAAATAAAATAATTTTTACTTTTTATGCTACGAGATTAATAACATGTGACAATTTCTTCCTCAATAGAAAAAAAGAAGTAAAATTTAGTATTGGAAAATCTTGCCGTTATGGTCTTTAACATGTGAGTGATGACTTCAATTATGCATTTTAAAATTCCAGTCATCAGTTGGATCGTAGCAAGTGAAATGAGGATAACGAGTTTGAAAAATAACTTAAGTGCTTTTAGAAGCTCTTCGCTAAGGAAAATAAAAAGCCACAGTTTAAGTGCCTTAAATTTGCAGCAAAGCTATAATTTTAGACTATCTATATTATCTTGCGGTAAAGAATTATCTGGGATTTAAAACGGACAATTAAATATTTGAAAAAATTATCCGTCTGGTATAAATCGGCAATTTCGATTCTTTTTTTTTTTTACTATCCATATTCAAACTTTAGTTCATTAAGCTTTCCAAAACCATTTTAATTTTTGATTTCTGATTTTTAGAATTCTTAATTTTTGATATCTAGCCTTTAAACCAGTGCTTCCCAACGTGGAGCCCACGCCCCACAGGGGGGCAATTTGATTGTTAAAGGGGGCAATTCGAAAATGAACTCGACACGAGTTTAATCCTTTCGCTCCAGGCCATTTAAATGCAATGCTGGATTTCGGTGCCAAAATTGAAAGAAAAAAGCAAATTCTTAAATAATTGCTGCCAATAAACGTTATGTGACTTAGTGATTTTTTAAGCGACAAACCTGAAATGAAGTATTTGTTAACAGTCGATGATAAAGCATTAGTGAGTTATTTAGCCGATATGTTGGAAAAACTAAATATATTAAATAAGCAACTTCAAGGAACAAATAAAACTCTTGTTGATGCAAAAGAGAAGATATTTGGTCTCATTACCCTTATTGAGTTATGTCAGAAATATATTAACAACAAAAACTTTTAACAGTTTCATTGGCTCCAAAAATGTGAAATAAATGATACCGTTTTACTTGTTATTATCGATCATTTGAAAATTCTATCGGCTGATTTAAAAGAAAGATTTTCTGATTTAAAACAAAATTGATTTTCCAACATGGACGATGCAGCCAATGTTAGTGGATTTGTCTGATATATCAAACATACAGTATCAAGAAGAACTTGCAGAAATGCAAAATGATGAGTCAGTTAAAGCTTTATTTAATATAAAAGGAGTGATGGCATGGCTTTGTGAGGAAACAGAAATCAAATGCCCAAATTCAACCAAACATGCAAGAAAACTATTGTTACAATTTCCATCTTTTTATTTAGCTGAATGCGGATTTAGTGCTGTAAATGATTAAGTTCTTTCGGTGTCATTCACTATAAAGGAGGAATTAAAACTTTCATTACCAGTTTATTTTTGAGAGGATAGCGATAGGTGGCGATTAGAATTAATATTTATTAGGAAAATTATCTAGCGTAGGAAAACAATTGACGCGAATTAGTTAAAAAATTAAATGACAAATTTAATTCTTGCATTTTAATTTCTATATTCCCCCTTAATTATTCANCAAAATGATGAGTCAGTTAAAGCTTTATTTAATATAAAAGGAGTGATGGCATGGCTTTGTGAGGAAACAGGAATCAAATGCCCAAATTCAACCAAACATGCAAGAAAACTATTGTTACAATTTCCATCTTCATATTTAGCTGAATGCGGATTTAGTGCTGTAAATGATTTACTGGTAAAAAAAAAGCAATCGTCTGGATATAACACAACGGGGAGACTTGAAACTGAAGCTAACCAAATTGGAACCTAGCATAAAATCTCTTTGCAACAAACATCAAGTGCGAGGATCTCACTAAATTAAAATATTAAATTATTTCAGAAAAATCTTTATTAAAATTATTTCGAATTTGAATTTTAGTTTTTCATTATGTGTTTTGAAAATTTACTTACTGTGTTTCGTTAACAATTTCCTAGTGATTTCTTCCTAAAACCTATCATTTAAGTTTCTTAAGTGAACAATACAATTTTTTAATATTAAAAATTATGTATACGTTATACAGGGGGCATATGAATTTTAGAAAGGCTTAGGTGGGGCATGGCATAAAAAAGGTTGGGAAACACTGCTTTAAACAGTTAAGATTGCATGGTCAGTACTTGAAAATTCGGGCAATTGTTCAAAAGTTATTAAAAAGTTCAATTTTTTTTTATTTTGCTCACTTCATGCAGTTTTGGGGTAAAATGTTGATTTTAGAGAGATTTTGCATCTCCTTACCTCTATTTAAGATTCACAGCTCAAGCGCGAAAATTTCCATACAAATCGCAGTATCACTAAGAGGAAGAAAAAAAAAAGTTAGCGTTACGGATCATGTAAGACAAACACTATGTGAAATCACTCTTTTTAATGTACTCTGTTTACACAATTTACAAGGAAATAATGTTGATTCTCTCAAAGTAAAATGTTGATTTTAGAGAGATTTTGCATCTCACTAACTCTATTTAAGATTCATAGCTCAAGCGCAAAAATTTCCATACAAATCGCAGTATCGCTACGAGGTAAACAACGTACGCATTAAACAACGATGTTGTCAAACCAGCAAAATATTTCAGAACAAACTCGTAGTTTCGAAAATCATAAGAGAGGGAGGGGGCAATTAATATAAATAAAATATAGGTACGGGGAATATATATCCCTCCATATGTAGGGATGAGAAGTCTTTTTTGAAGAGAAAGTCAAAGAAACTAGAAAATATTAGGCTGGCGGCCTACACAAGTTCCGTAAAGCCGCAATCGTAAAAATAAGAGAGATAAACAGATAATTGTAAGTAGCACGTACGATTTAAACAGACATAACTAATTTCTGCACTCACGTGCAAGCAATAAAAATATTTAAAGCAAACAACTAAACAAATAAAGGTATAGGATTACAAGGTAATTTATTAAGAACAAAAGTTGACTTTTATTATTGAGAAAACAAAATTCGTTAACCAATATAGTATAAGATTAGTGTGAATGGATTTTTGAAATAACAATTTTTAAAAATTTATCTTTAATTTAGGATATTTTCTTTCTTGTTTTTCGCATTATTTGCACGAATTCTTAAGAAATTACATTTTACGACAAACACTAAGCAACAAACAAAAGTTACAACGAAATGATTATAATGCAAGTACTATTAGAAAGGCTGAACTAGGTCAGTAATTTGCTGCTACTAAACATAACTAGCATTAAAAGAAGGGGAAAAAAATGAAAAAGAAAAAAAACAGGCTGATTTTCTGTACTTCGTAATTTATTCGTAGTAATCGTACTTACAAATGATGACATACTTCGTAAATTAGTATTTATATTTTTGTTCAGAGCAAAAAGGGGGGAAAATGTCGGTTACATTACGTTTATTTGAAATAAATAAACATAAATTATTAATATAGACTGTTTAGGACCAAATCGGAAGACTTGGTAGGCAACTTTAGGTTCAAATAGTGCACCTTCGTTAAAAGGGAAGATAATATTAAGAAAAGAAATCTCATAAAAATTTTTTATTATTGATAGCCTATTAAAAGTAGCAATTTTTTATTTATTTATTGAAACAAATGATAAAAAAAGAGAAAAATAGAAAAGATCTGAATATATTTTGCACAGTAAAGAACCTTCAACTAATCGTACAAATTCATAGCTCTGTATACCAACACTTTTACAACGTACATAAAAGAAAGCAGTAAATAAAATAAAATAAAATAAAGAAATAGAAATAAGGAGGAGAGCAGAATATAAGTGAAGCTAATATGAACTAAAAAGATATAATTTCATACTAATTTTTATTTCATTTATTGGTAGATCATTCAAAGCAGCGATTCNTGTATACCAACACTTTTACAACGTACATAAAAGAAAGCAGTAAATAAAATAAAGAAATAGAAATAAGGAGGAGAGCAGAATATAAGTGAAGCTAATATGAACTAAAAAGATATAATTTCATACTAATTTTTATTTCATTTATTGGTAGATCATTCAAAGCAGCGATTCTATTTATTCGTTAAAAAAAACGGCAATTAAAAATAAGCGAAACAGAAAAGTTCGGAATACATTTTGTACAGTATTAAAGCGTACAGTTATTTACATAAATCAGTAGCTCCGCGTAACAACTCTTCTACAATGAACATAAATAAAAAAATAAACAAAGGAGAGAGGGAAAATATAAGGTAAAGATAATATAAACAAAAATATCAATACCGATTTTTATCTAACATGTTGATAGTTTATTCAAAGATGTATCTTCATTTATTGTAAGTGATAATTAAATACTTGAAACAGCAAAGATCGGAATATATTTAGTAGATTAAAGAGCCTACAGCTATTCACATAAAAATCTGAGCCACAAGAGCTTACCTTTCAATCTCTTTTCACGAGTGAAGAGAACTTGCCAATGAATAGCGAGCCAGGTAGGAAAAAAAAGGGGATTATGTGTGACCTTGAAAGTTTAGCGACTCGAACATAAAAATAAATATTTCAAAATACAGTCCAGGCGCTTCAGCGACGTATCTAGGAGCTACTTGTTTTTTCCAAGTATTCCATGTAACACACACAAAAGAATTAAATAAAGAGCAAAAAGTTTTCTTTTTCTTTACTCCCACTGTGTTGTAGACAAAATAAATGTTTACTTGGAAAAGTAGAACAAAAAAGTTTAAAGCATTAGTAAGTAAACATAAATAAAGAACAAGATGCTAATATTTAGTGTCCCACTTAGTTAAGAATTTTTAGATGCAAAAATATTGTTATAATTTTTTTTATTAAATATACAAATTATAATCATAAAAGACTTTTATCTTTGACTTTTTTTTCTCTGAAAAAAAAAATAAAATAGATTTTGAAAATTACTACTTTTTTCTAAATAACAAGTATTTTTTTAAAACAAAAACGGTGCGTAAACGCACCATTTCAAAAAAAAAATTTTTTTTAGGAACACTGCGACGCATATATTTCACGAATCTTATTTTCCTGTTTTTCTCAAGGGTTCTTAAGACATTTATAAAATATTAATGGATCCCAATTGAAGTAAACAATTTCTGATTTTCTTTTACTTGAAACGGTTATTGAAAAATTTGACTTTTTGAAAATGCATTATTCCATTAACGATTCAACACATATTTTTTATGATGGGATAAGTTTGCAAGTTCTGTAAATAAAATAAAATGTCATAAAAAAACTAATGTTCAACTAAATGATTTGGCTAATGGTGCATAATGCACTATTTTATTTCTCAAATAAAATAATTTTCATGCGCGAAACTCTTTTTGAGCCATGTTGTTGTTGTTCATTTACGTCGCACTAGAGCTGCACAATGGGCTATTGGCGACGGTCTGGGAAACATCCCTGAGGATTTGAGCCATGTAATTAATGTAATTTAAACATATTTCAATGAAAATATCACATTTTATAAAATGTCTATGCTTGACATAAAATTGATAGTTAAGGCGCTTTAAGTCGAAAACAGTTATCGACTTAAAGCGCCTTAACTATCAATGAATGAGTTTTCGGAAAACTCATTCCTTCCATAATTTATGATTACTCAACTTTCTCAATATATAATTCCCGTGATGTTTTCTTTAATCTAAACGAGAGTATAGTTTTTATTATTTTTTTTATGATTTGAAAAATTTATTTCCTATACAATAAGACTTAGCATTAACCATCAAAATGGTACGAAAGAAAATACATTAATTTAAGAATGTAACAAAATCTAAGCTTTTTACCAGTTCATAGTATATTTGCTATAACGCATTAAAAACAACGCAAAATGAGAAGGGGGAAAATCGAATTATTAATTGCACGTCATAATGAATTTAAACTATTTCTTTACAGAAATTATCAGAATAATGGAGACAATAGCGAATTGCTTTGGGATGCCAGTAACTGAGCTTTTTCTTTATTGTATTCTTCACTTGAATTATTATTCATTTTGTTGCTTTTTATTCGTTCTATTTTGATTTCTTTAGAATTGTCTAAATTGCATGGATGAAATTTCAAAACAAAGCTATATGCAATAACATAATAAAATTTTAACAGGAAGAAACTTAAGATGGAAATTTTATCAGAAAGAACAGTGGGAAAGTTCACGGAAATAAATTCATTTAATTTTATTACATTGATTCATTTTTTTTTCAGGCAATTGTTAGAGAAACTATTAAATAGCTAGTATGTATCCGAATCAGTAATAATAAAATTATAAATGGTCAGAATGTGATGTAATGCTATCTTAACCCTTGACCTATAATGAAAAACATAAAACAGCCTACAGTTTTTTCCCCCTTCAAAGTTAAAACTACTGCAGCAACAACATGTATGAAAACTGCTAACCATTTTAACATTCGAATTACCGCTTTTGCGGTTTTTTTCTACTTGAGTTAGTTTAACAAATAGGCTACATAAGAAATAGCCATAGCTTAAAACCCCAATATTATTTAATTTGAATAATTGGTGGTTTGTCACAGTAATTCTTCAAAAACTACAGAAGCAATTTATTTGAATAATTGGTGGTTTATCACAGTAATTCTTCAAAAACTACAGAATCAATTTATTTGAATAATTGGTGGTTAGCAAATGTTGCTCTTTAAAAATTACAGTGGCAATTATGTATATTTGACGTTGATATTAATTTCAGGTAATACTTAATCGAAAAAGTTACCGAACGTAAATACCGACGAAATGTGCAAAAATAAAAAGAAAATTTATCAATTTTTCGAAAATTCCCCAGTTGCTCTCTTAAGGGTTCCACTCTAAAAAAAATGTGAAGAATGAATTTTGCATGAGTAACGCCCACATATTATATCGATGACTTATTTTTTCTAAAATAAAATATTTATTTTTCTTTATTTTATGTCTATTTTTAACAGCAAACACAACAAATATAACACCACATATTATATCGATGACTTATTTTTTCTAAAATAAAATATTTATTTTTCTTTATTTTATGTCTATTTTTAACAGCAAACACAACAAATATAACAGCTAACTTAGTATATCTTTTTACTTAAACAGCTGAATAAATACATCACTAACTCTCTTTGCAGCCATTGACATCTCTTGTTTTTCACTTGATAATCATTAGTTTTTTGTCATAGCTGTATAAAGTTCATTAAAAAAATTATCCCAACATACCCCAGCATTCCAAAACATCGGGAGGTACAGCAAAAATTATGAAAAACAACGTTTTCATTAAAAAGTAGTTATTTTTAACATTAAGTTTTTTAAGGGAAAACGAAAAAAAAAAATTTTTTTTTTTGAAAAGTTAATTTAAAAAATAAATCGGAAATAGATGTTAACTGGAGGAC